TTTTTTCAAAAAATTCACACAAACAAGAACAATTTTGTTTTGCATTTTACATATGTGTACCGAATTTCAGAATGATCTGCCCAAAGGTATACAATTTATTATTTGCGCGAGACGGTCCCCTTAACGAGAACTAATAAGTAAACAGTAAACACTAACCATCGTTCCCAACTTCCCGCCACTTTGGCTGTTGCATACGATTGATTCTGCATGTTTAACATTTACAATTTATGAAGGTTATTGAACCATTCTGTTGAATGTCAGTTACTGATAAATTTGTAATATAGAAGAATTCGTATCTATCATTTTTCAAATGAGTATATTGATGGTTGGTGTCCCTGCGGCCTGCTACCTTCTTTGTTTATGTTTTTCGTTAAGTTGGTAATCCTGATCTTAACGGAAGGAGTTTCCATGTCTCAGCTTATTGCATCAGTGGTCAGTTTTGAATTTGTGGATTGAATCATAGGTAGTTTTTCATGTATTTGCGAGTGAATGCACAGAGTGAAGATGTTCTTCTTTGCAATTTTCATCAATAGTGACATAACTACATTGTAGTATTATGCACTTGAAATAAGAAGTGTAGCATTACGCATTAAATTAGCATCAGTGCGTTAACATTGTGTGCATTTGGGGCAGTCCATTCTAGCTTTCTAATGCTGATTGGATTCCAGTGGCTGTGATGTAGCACGTGACCTAGCAATGAATGGATTCATGTGACTGTGATGTTGGACGCGTTCAAGCATTGATTGGATCCTTGTTACTGTGATGATGTAAGCTCTTTTTTTTCAATGAAACAGCTGTGGCAGCTTGCAGAGACTTGTCAGTGATGATGATGGACTGAAAGTGTAGGTATGCTGGGCTTTCCAGATTTTTAGGTCATGCTTTCCGAATGGCTATGTTTACCAGTTAATATATTACCCCTCTGGAATTCCACACTGGCCGAGTAGGTAACTACTAACTAGGACATCTTCACTCCTCACTTGTTCATGGCCCACACCAGCTACATTGCCATCATGATACTTACTTGGTTACTTGGTTGAGATGAGGCATGTCACCTTCCTGAGTATTGGTGCCCCCAATCCACATTCTTCAGGGTGCATTAGATGTTGCTGAGCATGTTGGTGGCTTGGAGGTACTTGATGATCAGTTCAGCAGGGAATTCAGGGGTCGTAAGCAAAGACAGGCAGAAAGGGACAGAGAGGCGAGCGCATGTAGATTTCAGCTGGTCACATTGAGGAGTCAGTACCGGGCAACTGATGAAGAGGTGTTCGAGGGTGAGACTGCTCTGACATGTTGAGCACTGGGGTGGGGGGATATTGAGAAGTGGTGGCCATGAGTTAATAGGCACACTCCTAGCCGAAGCCGTGTGATTGTGACTTGGCAAGGCCGAGGGAGAGCTTGCTGAGCTAGTGGGCCTAGTGTTGGCTTGAAGGAAGTCAGTTCTCATGGTTGTTCAGTCCATGCTCTCTGCCATATGCTGCGAAATGAGTGTGTGATGAGTCTTCTAAGTCAGCAGAGCTGTAGGGCACCTGGGTGATTTGGGCAAGCTCCAGTGAGGCACAGGCAAGTCTGTCAGCAGCTTTGTTGCCTTTTATTCCAACATGTCCAGGTACCCATTCCAAGGTAAATTTGTTTGGTATTGTAGCCATAAGCACATTTTGTATACAAGGTACCAAGTTATGTCTGGAAGGGTGGGTTGATTGAAGGCAGGTGATGCAAGCAAGTGAGTCAGTAAATATTACAAATTTGCCTGTTTTTTCTGTAGCAAATTTTATTGCATACAGTTCTGCTGAGAACACTGAAGTGGCAGGTGGTAGTTGGGCTTTGATTTTGAATAAGGAGCTATAGATTCCACATCCTGATTTGCAGTCACTTACAGAGCTGTCTGTAGACTTGGTGGTGAAGAGGATATTTATGGTCCAGTAAGTCCTTAAAGGCTTGCTGCCATTGCTCTGGAGAGGTTTTCTTCTTTGTGGTGTATAGCTAGTGTGGCAAAGGTTTTGATTCTGGCTGGGATGTATCCTGCTTGCATGGGCACTGTGGATATCCTGTGACTTCAGTTGAAGTTTTCTAAAGCCCTGATATGCTCGGCCTGTAGCTGGTAGCGGTCGTGCCAGGTGTTCATATAGTGCATAGGGATGGTAGTTGAGTAACATGAGTCTTGCTGGGTGACGTGGTATGGTGAGGGTGTGGGCACAGCACGTCAGTAGAATCTGCTGTCTTCTCAGGTTGAGAGGCATCAGGTCTGACTCTGCCTCCAATTTTGCGGTGGGTGTACAGCGTAGTGCCCCGAGTATGATGCGTGCAGCTTCATATTGAATTCTGTCAAGCTTTTGTAAGTGGGTGTCTGCTGCTGGACTGAGTAGAAAGCTGGCATAGTCAAGTTTGGATCAAATTAAGGCAACATACAGCCGTTGTAGTTTTGAGGCATCAGCTCCCCACTGCCTGGCAGCAACCACTCACAGTAGCTGGAGGTCAGCTTGGCATCTGGAGGTGAGGCTTGCTATGTGCAAGCCCCATGTCGGTTTTTGATCAAGTGTAACTCCCGGAAAATGGACCTGAGATACAAGTTGTAGGTTTGAGCCATTTAGTATTAGTTGCTGGTCTGGAGTTTGGCGTGATCTGGTGAACACAATGGCTGTGGTTTTCTCTGCAGAAATTGTTAGCCCCCACTGTTGGGACCACCTCTCTATAGTCTGTAGGGCACCTTGCAGAGTGTTGATAGCTTCTGTTGGCATTGGTTGGGACACCCAGAGGGCTCCATCATCTGCGTAAAGTGAGCACTACACTGGTGGGGGAACCATTGCAAAGAGGTCATTGATCATTATACAGAACAGCATTGGGCTGAGTACAGAGCTTTGGGGTACACCGCTGTATACTGGGTATGAGTTTGAGATGTGGCCACCCACACGGGTGCGTAGTGAGCGCAGTGAGAGGAAGTCTCTTACAAAGCAGGCCATGTTGTCACTGATTCCTATGTTCCTCAGTTTTAGTAAGATGCCACCATGCCAGACGGTGTCAAATGCTCGTGATATGTCAAGGAAGACCGCAGCACATGAGTTGTTGATCATGAGGCTTTCATGAGCTGTAGATTCCAGGCGGAATAGTGCATCCATAGTGCTGTGCCCTGCTCTGAAGCCACTTTGGCAGGGGTTGTAGAATGAACATCATTCTAGTTGTGCCTGCAGGTGCCAGTTGATCATTTTTTCCAGTTTTTTGCAGAGGCAGTTTGTGAGAGCAATGGGGCGGTAGGAGGAGGCAGATGTCGTGGGTTTTCCTGGCTTGAGGATAGGGACAATAATAGCCTCCCTCCATTGATGTGGGAACCCATTTTCATATATGTAGTTGTAGAAGCTGAGTAGTGATTCTATTTGTTGGGAGGAGAAGTGGTGCAAGAAACTGAAGGGTATGGTGTCAGCTCCAGGTGATTTGGGCGAGGATGAGCAGAGAGCTCAGTGCAGTTCTTCTAGGGTGAATTTTTGGTCATACCATTGCCTTGAGTCCCTTTCGAAGTGAGGTAGGCAGGCATCTTGTGCTGCTTGATGCGCAGAGAAGACAGGGTCATCATATTTCCCACTGCTTTGCTTTGAAAAGTGCTGTCTGAGGAGGTTTGAGGTAGAGGATGGGTCTGTGTGTAGGGTGTTGTTGCTGATAAGTGTTAGTGCTCATTGAACTTGTCCGTGGGAGAGAGCCCTGATCTTGCCCCAGATCTCTCCACTGCTGGTCTTTTCTGTCATGGTGGCAAGGTATTCTGTTCAGCTCTCTTTACGGGCGGTCTGAACTGTCTTCCGGAAAATAGCTCATGCTTGTTTGAAGGCAATCCAGAGGTCAAGGTTACTGAGGTGATTTCTGTACTTAGTTAGTGCTCTGTTCTTCCTGCATCTGGCCATTGCACACTCCTTGTTCCACCAGCAGTTGCCCAATTTGTGTCTACTTGGTGTTGAGCGTGGGATGTGAGTATGAGCAGCAGCAAGGATGGCTGTGGTTACTGCCCCGCATGCTTGGGTTGGTGATAAGAATACTTTAGGTAGGGTTAGGGAGTTTTGAAATCCTGCCCAGTCGGCAGAGTTGATGTGCCATTGCTGGTGCTCCGAGGTCTCGAGTGTTATGTGTGATGAGATGATGAGAGGAAAGTGGTCACTGTTATAGGGGTTGGGAGAGGGGCCCAGTAGAATAGTGGAGCAATGTCTGGAGTTACTATGGTGAGGTCTATATGGCTGTATTGCCCTGAGGAGGCCAAGAAGGTTGGTTCAGAGGTGTTCAGTATAGCCAGGTCACACTCATGCAGGATGTGGTTTATAGCTAATCCCTTGCTGTCTGTCTGGGGAGAGCCCCATATTGTGTGGTGTGAGTTACTGTCAACTGATATGATGAAGGATCTGGGGAGGTGTGAGATTAGGGTGGGTAGCTCAGCTTGTATGACATTCCTGGGGAGATTAGGAGGTAGGTAGAGTGAGCACATTGTGATGTCACGCTCAGGAAGGTGTATGGTGGTTGCACACATCTCAAGTGGGGATGTAAGTGGTAGTATTGAATGTGGAATGGTTGTCCGCACCAAGACCAGGAGTCAGGACGCCTCCCCCACGACCGCATACTCGCTCACAGCGAGCTGCAGGCTGTTGGAAGCCAGGGATGTGTATTTTGGACTCTGTCTGTAAAAATGTTTCTTGAAGGCACAGGACATCTGGGTTGTGATAGGATATTAGCTGCTGGAGATGGGGCTTGTTAGAGTGCAGGGAGCGCATGTTCCATTGGATGATCTTGAGGTTCATTGGGAGATTGAAGTGAGGCCAAATTGTGCAAGTGAGTCAGCAACAGTTGTGTCAGCATGGAGTTGATGGCCCATCTCGAGGAAGCATTCAGCTTTGTCTGTGATTTGTGTTGAGAAGAACAAGCGAATAAGAATTGGCAGCAGTTTGGTTAAGATTTGCAGGAGCCAGGAAGTCAGCTATGTGATTTGATGATGCAAAAGGAGGGGGTCAAGCATGCTGGGTGTAGGCACTTTATGCGGTTAGTGGGCAGTTGAGGGCTTGGCTGTGCTCGGGACTATGGGCTGTCTGGTTTTGATTTCTGTTGTTTGAGGGTTCTGGTTGTGTCTCACATCTGTTGATGTTAGCATGGGCATCAGAGTGGTTTTGGGTGTTTGGGTACTGAGAGAGCGATGGTGAAGGAGAGGTTTGCACTGGGGATCTGGTGGATCTGAAGGTACTGGGTGGTCCCCATTTACAAGAGGAGTCAATTGTTGATGGTTGCTGTGATGGTATGGAGGATGATGCATCTTGGGCGATGAGCTGCGTGAGTGTTGGGAAGACCTTCAGGGAGTTAAGTTCCAAGTTGTTGGCAGCTTTTGTTGGTTGCTTGTTTTGTTAACTGTTGAAATCATTGAGTGGAGCTGTTCTTGTTGTGTTGCTTTGTCTCTGCAGCATAGTGGTTGGTGGTGCTGGATTTGCTTCCTCGGCCTGAACTCTGGCTCAGGCAGCTGCAAAGCTGATCCCTTCATCTGCCACGAGGTGGCAAGCACGGATTTCAGCCAGGTATTTTGGGCACTGCCTAGAAGTTGCATCGTGGGGGCCTTTGCAGTTTAGGCATTTTGGGGGCAGGGAAGAGTCTGGGCAGCTTTCTCTGGTGTGACCCTCTCTACCACAGTGGCTGCATGAGGGTTGCTTGTTTGAACACTTTAGGCAGGAATGTCCATATCTGCAGCAGAACCCGCATCTTAGCGGGTTAGGATAATACCTGTCTACTCTGACATAACAGTATCCTATCTGTATCTTGGAGGGTGGGGTTGGACTCAAAAAATTTAGTACAAAGAGTGGGACATTAGATTTTACTGGATCAGATAGGAGCTTCCTCACTCCCACAACTTTGTTGGGTCTCAGAATGGACAGTAGGTATTCTAGGGACTCACCTTGCAGTTCTGGAGCAAAGATTTTACCATATGAAAATTGGGAGGACCAAGCAACTGTGGTTTCAACCGGAATTGGGTTGTCTGCAGGAGTAAATTCCTTTATTTTTGTTATTGCATGCACTTGTTCCAGTGTTTTGGTGGTGACCAGCAAGGATCCATTGCGTAAGTGTTCTATTTTTTCAACTGGTCCACAGATCATATCAGTAGCCCTTGCAATGCGGAATGGATTTATCTTTGACAAGTTAGTTATTCCATCCTTGGCAGTGATCAAGATTTGCCAGATGTTCTTTCCTGCATTTTCCAGGTGTTCTGGACAGTTTAGATTCACTCTTGCTGATGTTGGTTCAGCAGTTTGCTTCATGCTAATCACATTATCTTGAGTTAATTTATTTTTCTGTGTTAGTTTGTTGGGGGGGCTGGTGCTGTTAGAGGTTGGCTTGGTACTGGTTGCTGTATCTCCTCTTGGTGTTGGATCTTGTCTCTCTTGTTGATGCACTGTTTCATCTGCACTGTCTGATAACACTCCACTTATTATTGAGTCAGCATCTCTTTCCTCCATGGAATGGGTGTTTGCCACTAGTCCTAGGGCTACGGCAGCATGCTTGCTTGTTGCAGCCAGGCATAGATCTGGCGCCATTTTTTCTATATGTTGGGAGTGGCAGCAGGAAAAGCCATCCTTCTTTTTCATGATTGGCTTGGTTGGTTCTTGCTCATCGATGATAGTAATGGTGTGGGCGTTTTTCTGCTGCTTCCGCGCCTTATAATAATGTTGGAGTCTTTGGGTCTCCCTTCTGTAGAAGGGTTGTCATTTTCATGACGACCCTCCATTTAGGAGGTATCCTCTCTTGTCTTCTGGGTGGCGGTTTAGATTCACTTCTCAAGGGTATAAGAGACAAAAGTTTTCAGTTAGTTAAATTTAACAAACAAACACCGATTGAAAGCCAGCAGATTTGGTCTCAGTAGAATTAGCACCACTTTTCACTGTGAACTCGCGATTGAAACTGCCATCATGATGTGCCACTTGCCAAGCCAAGTTACCATACCTAATAACCTACAAGTATGTATGTAGTCCGTTTTGAGGTTGCATAAATGTCCCTCGACGGGGCACTTGTTGCACCTGGATTTATCAAATGATTTTCAATGGGTTACTTAATTTGAAGTATATTGTTCCAGGGCAGTCTTGTTCAGCTTTCAGAGATTACGTCCAGTACTCTTGATGTATTCAACCATAGCTTTTACAATGGCAAACTGGGTGTTCCGTGTGAAGTCTCCTCCGCCCAGCAGGTCTTGCACTGTGAGGGGGCTAACCCCTTAGGGGTCCACAGCATTTTCAAGTATTCTTCGGGCTTCCAGGTGTAGTCCACAATGTAGAAGGAAGTGTTTAATGGTGTCCTCCACGTTGCAGTAGTCACACATTGGAGAGGGTGACATACCAAATCGATACAGATAGGCACAAGGGCCTGCATGGCCCAGGCGGAGATGGGCCAGGCTGACAGCAGCCCTACAAGTCGGAGAAACCACCCATGGGACAGGGGACAGTTTGCTGCGTATTGTGGTCAAGTGGACGCCCTTCCCTGTTGCCCTTACATCGGTCACCCAGGAGCCATACCCAGGATGATGCTGTTTTCCGCAGATTAATCCAGCGTATACAAGGCTCTGAGAACTAGCCCCGGCGTACGCCTTGGCGTAAATCAGGTATAATTTGTGTGCTTGGGGTACACCCCCGGCGTACATCAGGAAAAATTTGTGCACTTGGCGCAGACACCCGACGTGCATCAGGAAAAATGTCGGCGCTGCGGCATATGGCGGTACCGCCACTACCTCGTACAATACAGGCGTTATACATTTCTAGGGCTGCGAGCGCAGGGCATGGTAGTAGCCTACAAATAGAAATTGTTAGCTAACACATGAATTTCTTTAAAAAATATAGATACACTTACGGTATATAAGATTTTAAATGTTTTAATACTTTTTTTTCAGACTCTGTGGCCCATTATAGATGCCGAAACACATTAGCCCTAATGTTGGCTGGGGACAAAACGAAGTCCGATGTCCACTGCTGCAATTGGAGAATCTCTGCTCTACACATTGCCTTTATCGAACCACTACAAAGTACAAGCAGCTGCATCTTGCAGGAAGTATTTTCATCTTTTATTCGATTAAATTAAATTTATAAGAAATTATGTTGATATTTCCTCTTTCCTTCACGTAATTAGTGAGAATCAAATTTTTAGTTTATAAAAAAACTAGATAATGCATTACGAAGTGCGCAAGCGGTAATGGATCAATCTATCAAATGCTTAGTCTTGATCGAAAAGGGCGCCAAATTGGCAAAGAGCTAAAAAAAATATTTTGATAATAAAAATAGTTACGTTTGTCGAAAATTTGTAACACATGAGAAGAGGTAGCTTCGAGAGGAAGGGCATCAATCAACTACATAGAAACACTGATCTGGTTACAGTCACTTGTTTAACGGTTAAATATTTTTCATCATGCAGGCTGAACTCACCGTCCTCCCAGATTTCATTAGACAATCTTAAATTAAGAAAAACGACGTAGCGCTTATGAGTTACCACCTCTGAGTAGACCATGATTGCAAACTGTAAATTGGGTGACAATTATCTGCACCAATAGTACAATTCTTCGGCCAGTCTTCAGATTCCTAGTAGGCTAGTAGGCCCAAAATATTTTCCAGACCACGGAACAGATTCCGATTAAACCAATTGACTGTTGACATATATTTATAGGCTTTCAATGACAATTCCGTTGTGAAAATTTTTTTATTTAACTTCGACAATCCGGTCAACTCTTGAAAATGAGATAATTTGAAGCAAAGATCCTATAGCTGCAGGTAACTAACCACATATTTAATACCGTCTGGACCCTTTTGAGATTCAAGTTGGGTACTGCTTTTCAAAGCAGATTTTTCATGCCTGATTGTCAAATCGAAACCAGTAATAACTAAAGTAAAAAAATTAACTAATTATTAATCATGAGCACCTGCGAGCACTGTCAGAATTTTTACGGTCTGTTTCATTTTCATTTGCCTCGCTAAGAACCAAGTGTACGCACTTTTTACGCGCATACCTAATGTAGCGATTATGTGTGGTAGTACGCGAAATGAAGCAGAGAGTGAATTCGGACAACGCTCGCAGGAGCATATTGGTAATAAATAACTTTGTCATTAATTAGATCAAAATCGCTTTTGAATTAACAGAAACTGTCCCAAAAAATTATCCCAAAAGTGTACATGCGGTGATTAATTATCTCTTACCTGTTTGTAGTGTGCATGTCAGTAGGCTATTATTTTTAATGAAAACTTTTATTTTACAGCTCTGCACTTGCGAAGGAAGTCAAACTCAGAAAGATTTTTAGGACCTACACATTGTTGGAAGATGATGGGGAATGAATGTCCAAAGTTTTGTTAAAATCTGCAAAGGAGTATACGAGAAACTCGTATTTTAGGCTTACTTCAAATTAAGGCCATTTACTCTATCAACTACCAGTGAAATCGAAGTGCAAGAATTTCTTACGACCACCTAATAATTGGGAGGTTTCTATAAATTCATGTGTGACGTTTCATTGTAATCAAAGGAGTAGTTTACGATATATTTTATTTTTCTAAAATAACTCCAGAACCCAAAGTGAAACCCTTATGAGAAACGTCAGTGAGGCAATAAGGTATTATTAATATTTATATATTGAAAAATATGGTACGCGACCTTAATCACTGGGTACTTTAGTAGTTAGAAATAGACTCCTGCATCCCTAAATAATTTTCTCGAAATGAACCGGGACAGACGAAGCGAGACGAGAAAATTCCAGGAAAAAAAATAACGGGACAGAGGGTTAAATTTGTCCCGGAATAAACGTATGAACCGAGACAAGACTTCTGTCCCGGACTTTAAAACTTGTGTCCCGGTTATTTATGAACAAGGACGAGACAGACAGATTTGAAACGAGACATAACGAGACAAGATTTGTCTCAATTATTTAAGACAAAACAAGTTTTTCAATTACGATATGAATCTTTTCGAAAACATGGGTTGAAGAATGACAAGTTAGCCCTTTATTGCTAACAGGGCCATAGACAGTTCCCAGTTAAATTGAGTTAATTGAAGATTTAGCAAAATTTGTTTGACCAACGCAAATGGCAGTTAATTAGTGGTCCAACAAACACCGCAAACCTGACGATGTATGGCTGATTATTGAGTAGAAAAATATTATCCTTAAGTCTTAACTAAGGCTTCGATGGCACTTTATGGGAACCATACGAGTACAAGTTGACGTTATTACCGGTTCAGAACGAGTCACGCGCCATGGGGGGGCGCCATAGGGACGCCATTCAGTGTGCAGTTCAGTGGATGCAGTGTGCAGTGTCTAGAATAATCGGCCAATTAGTAG